TAAAATCATTCTGTGGAATCTAATATGCGCCTCAAATTTTTGCTCATCTCATGTTGTTCCCACTCTTTAGAGTGTTACTACCTCTGACACAGAAGCCAAAATACCTTCCAGCTTTATGAAGATGTGATGTTGGATCAGCAATAGAATGTATCCTCACAAATTAATCATTTAGCTTAACAGAGATCTAACAGAGAGTAATCTGGTTAAATCCTGACCAGTTCTCTCCCATCCACTACAGTTAATCCAATTGGTTGTGGATAGAATTGTAGTAAGCACTATACATTGCTCATGGTATATTAAGCCAAGTCTTAGATAAAAGCTGTAAAACAGTAAAAGGTCAGTTCTGCAAGCTAAAATGAGGAAAAGGAGAAGGTTTGCTTATCTGTTGTCTTTTAAAATGCCAGCTCTCCTTGAAGAGAAGTACAGGTGGTTAAGTAACTATTATCACAGAGCTGATCACAGAAACAATATAATCAAATGATTCTTTGAGATCTGTAACAAAAAAGAAAGTCAATATAAGTCAAAGTGACATCCTGGCAGTTGAAGCAGGTGGGTAGAAAGAAATTCACCTAGTATCGATTTAAATTGAAGCGATGGGTGAAATTGAAGAGGTTAGAAAGGAAAGCAGAAGCTTTGGGCGCAGAGAAAAAACCCCACAACAGTCGCAATAGACACTCTTGCTAAATCTCATTGTTTACACAGAAGGCAGCTGCACTTCACTTGTTTTTCTAATATGTTTTAACCTCTCATTCAAGAGGCTTCTTCGGTTCTAAATAGGTTGAAAGTGTCTGTTACCATGCTGCTCATATATAAGGATAAATGTAAAAACAATTATTTCATGGATTCTGAAGTGGAAACTGAGGATTATTGTGACAAGGATACAAAGTGACAGGCACAGAAATGAACAGTGCAATAAAGTAGTCACATTTCCATTTAAGGAAGGGGAGACTCTACCTTTTACTACTCAGGATAAACAGTTTGTCTAGTTCAATCTAAGACCATTTTGCAAAGAGAAGAACAAAGAGAATCAGCAGCATCTTGTTAATGTCAAAAGCAGCTCCCTGGACAGGATCATGTGTTGGCTGTGCTTGTGATGGCAATAAAACTTCTTAGCTATCTAAGGAATACTTTTATTATGTCTATCAGATTGTTGTCTGAAGGTATACAGTAAACCAGTCTAGAACCTTACTTGTGTGGTCTAACCTGAATTTTTAACCACATAATGGTCACAAAATAATATTTTATATAAATATTACTTTTTATTAAACCATCAACAATTTGAGATCACAGATATAAAAAAATTATCAAGGTTCTGTTCAAATCTGAATAGTGTATTGCACATTATACCATGAAGATTATGATTATGTTTACAACTTGCAGTATAATGCTGGCAGCTGCTGCAAAATAATTAGTTTTTATGTGCAGTGAGTTGTAATTTGCTGTAAACAGTAAGGAGTTTAGCAAAATTCTTTTGCATCTTTACAAATCTACCTGTTGCACGGTTGGATCCTGTAATCAGTGGGTTATTTTCCATCAGTTACTTACAGATGAAATGGACACACTGAAAAATCTGTGACCATGTTCACAGAAAAGGCCTGGCACTCATTCATTCTTTAAAGATGAGTAATAATTACTTAATGAATAACAACACAGTCCATCTCTGTTGGACATTCAAAAGCTATGAGTTAGATATTCAAATTTTGGTTTCTCATGATGCCAAAAGTTTTTATTTGGTTTACTTAATCTCTCAGTCCAATTTCCTTTCATAGGTTTTATTCTCATCTAGAGCACTTTGAAATGTCATGATATGAAAGTGTTCTAAATAAATAAGTCTGCCTTGTCTGGTAAACTACAAATAGATCTTTTTGAAAAGGAACAGAAGTCATTGTTACAAAAATATATAATCCAGACTGCCACCCTTGGATTCCATTGGATTCCATCACGAATTAACAGCAAACTGAATTTCTCAGGCTATGGAAGAGAAGCAAAGAAAAGTTGGGGGGGGGGGGGATCATCGGATGATTGAGCTCTAAGTGGTTCTATTTTGCAGCCTGCCTCTATTTTGTTGTATTTGGGCAGGCTGGCTGTGCTCCACTCCCTTAACTAGAGTGAGCGGATACACCAGTTGTTATCCTAATCACCCTTATTTTTCTGAGTCGTTATCTGCCTATTAATATTTACCTCTCACAGTCGGTCACTGCCAAATTATCTTAATGCTTGCATGAGTTTAATTCCTTTTCTTGTGTGCTTCACTTGCGTTCCTGTGTTCCGGTCCTCCCCGCTGCATTTTTTGATTTACTTTCTACTCAGGTTCAAAGCAAACACATCAGTTGTGATCTGATTTCCTTTAAGTGTTCTTTTTTAATTATTATTTAAGGTTAAATATATTGTCCAGCAGAGGATGTAACTACATTACCTTTTTCTGACTTCCAAAAACATAGACTATCTGCTTTTAACAGCACTGGTGTACATCTTTATCAGACAAATTGTCTTCCTTGATGGTCAGTCACAGCCAATTAGTGGGATACAGATTTTTATCTTTCCTCGTCTTTAAATTAATAAAAAACTAAAAGACTATGAGCAGAACTCCAGGCCTTCCTGTGGACATGGTCACAGGTTAGGATTTTTCAAACAATAAATCTAATTATTAAGTAACTGAAAAAAAAACAAGACAAAATTTAGATCACAGATCCATATTTTAAACAGGCATAGGTTAAGATCTGTCAGGATAACTTTTCTAGCTGACAGTGCAACTGATAAAGTTGTACAGATGCAAGGAAATTTGCCTAACATTATAGCTCACTGCATATTGAAATAAACTGTCTTGCTGCAGCTGCCGATATCGTACTGTAAGTTGATCATTATAATCGTAAAGACGTTACTTGTAATAACATTGTTTAAATAAAAAAAAAGGATATTAACAGAACGTTAATAATCTTGATAGCTGTGATCCAAAATTCTTTAAAGTTTAAATTCATTGACAGATTTTTTAAATCATCAATAAATATCCTTACTTCTTGTGAATTCTATAGTTACATGTTTGCTTAGTGGTAGAGACGATCACTCTGGCAACAGTGACTTATAGAATATCCCCATTCTGTCATCAGAAAGAGATATAAAGTAATAATGGTGCTGCTTTGATTTAGAAACCGACAGATAAAGAATTGAAGATTCATGAGCAGACCTTCTAATGAAATTTTTAACAATGAGATCTAAAAGGCTGATGAGGATTATTGCATTATGCTCTATGTGTCCAGAACAAAAGCAGACTGTAAAGCATAATTTAACACCCCTCCCCACCACCACCACCACTAGTCTACAGATGTCTTGACTTTTCAAAAATGCTTGTAGCATCCACTCCTCATTCAAAATTTGTACAAAAGCTAATAACTTATTCTGATTTTCTACAGAGATAAGAACAACTTGTGTTACCATTGCATTGTGTAGGCTGGGAATAGCAATGACCCATGCAGTCTATAGATTTTTTTCTTTGGAGAGCAATTCATATGGAAAAACAAAACTGGAAACACATCCAGGGTTCCTTAAAAATAGAAACAAATACTGAATCAAACAAGTAAATGTTACACATTAAGTTTTGTGAATTCACTTGTATAGAATAAAAGCACAAAAAAACATAATTAAAAGGAGCCATTTGCTTCTTGTGTGTTAACATTTATTACAACAAACTCATAACTTGTTGTATACAAAAAGGCATGCAACATCTTAACAAAAATAAATCCGGTAAATATATTTAATTCAACTATACAGAGCCAGATCACACATAAGATCACTATATTGGAAGAAAGTGCAAGTAATTCAAAGAGTGAGAATATAGAAGGAATAGTGAGCAATTAATAACTGGGTGTTTTGCTCAAAAATATTTGTAGAGATACAGCATTAAAAAACAACAATTATGTTTTCTATTATTTTTTTTTTTTTTTGTAATGAGAGATTGGCAATATTCCAACCCAACCACAAAACTGGACTGCACTTTTTTCACATTACAATTAACATTTAAGTACCCCACAAACTTTGTACACCACTTCTTGCTCTATTTATTATTATTATTATTATTATTATTATTATTATTATTATACTTTGTTGTTTTTGTTGCAGATTGTGTTGTTTTTGTTCCCAATACATATACTTGCTGACCACAGAAAGCACTTTTACACAAGATGCACACTGTAACATAAAGTGGCTTGCTCAGATAAATGTTGTGAGGAGGGAAAAATTTTGATTGAAAAATTACTATTTCTGTCAGTCACAGCTGCTCCACATGGCTTTTTTCAAGTTTCATTTACTTTTGAACTGAACTTTCTAAAATATGGAGGAAAAAGTTGTGTCAAAATACTAACCCGAATGCAGAGATGGCAAAAGTACTCACTTTCCGTACTTAAGTAAAAGTACAGATACTTGTGTTAAAAAATACTCTAGTAAAAGTGGAAGTACTGATTAAACTTCTTTACTCAAGTAAAAGTAACAAAGTACAGGCTTGTAAATTTACTTAAAGTATAAAAGTAAAAGTAGAAACCACTTTTTTCATGCCGTTCCCTACATTTTAAATGGATGTCTGCCAATAGGACTAGATCTTCGTTGTGTTCATTTTCAATCATCTCGTCGTCCATGCTACTATGCTAACGCCACCGCCACCAAGCTGCAATGATTTGCCGCCAATGAATACCGCCGAATCTGTCGATTCATCTTGTAGTGGTGCTTCAAATGCAACGTAGATTCCCATCCAATTAGATTGAATTTGGTATTGATGACGTGAAAAATAATAACGGTAACTCCATTGAAATGATTCAAAACTAAAGTAACAAGCCAATTTTTTAAAATGTAAGGAGTAGAAAGTACAGATATTTGTGTAAAAATGTAAGGAGTAGAAGTAAAAAGTCGCCATAAAAATAAGTAGTAAAGTAAAGTAAAAATATCAGAAAAATCTACTTGAGTACAGTAACAAAGTATTTGTACTTCGTTACTTCCCATCTCTGCCCAAATGTAATTAAAATGTGATAAAGCAGTTGAAAAGCTCAAAGGAAGTTTTACCAAAGTTTACTTTTATCAACTTAGGTGATGCATTCAATCTCTTCAGTTACTGGCATGGAGGAGGTTCTTATATCCATTTCATCGACACTCTTATTAGGGATATACGTTGACCTCCAGCGCAACAGAACAATTTTTTTCAGATACTTTACAGTGTTATTCTTGACACTGACAAAGCAGAAGGTATTAATCATACTGTTACTCATGGCAATGCATTCAATAATATAAAAAGCCACCAATGAGTTTCTCTGACGAGAGATAAGTGTTGGATGGAAGTCTCGTAGAATAGTGTAGCCGTAGTATGGGGCCCAACACAGAATGTACGCTGTCAGAATTCCGATAAGAACCATCACTGTTTTGCGACGGCAGCGCAACCTCTTCCTTATCTGCTCGGTCTGAAAACCAGGAACATTTTTGAACCACAGTTCACGAGAAATACGGGCATAACACATTGACATAACAATCACTGGACCAACAAACTCCACAGCAAAAACAAAAAGGAAGTAGGATCGATAGTAGGCTTGCTTGTCTACAGGCCAGATCTGGGCGCAGAACACTTTTTGAGCAGGTGAAGAGTTGCCACCATTAGGGTACATAGTCTCAGAAGCAAAATAGGCAGAAGGAATTGATATCAGAATGGGAACTATCCAGACTCCAGTTAATAGGCAGTAGGCTGTCTGATACTTCATACGAGGTCTCAGAGGATGTACTATGGCCATATACCTATGGGAATGGAGACAAAACATTGTATCATTGACAAGGCAGGAAATACATTTATGAAAATCAATAGGTCATCGAACCCCAATATGTTATTGGTGCAAGTACATGTGGTGTCATGAAAACTGTTTGGTCCTTACATGTCTTTATTACCAAAGTAGTATATTTTATTTTTTTTATTTTTTAACAGCACTAGTGGCAGTTTTTTGGACAGTGGGCTGAGAGAGGGGGAGAGACATGCAGCAAAGGACCACAAGTCAGATTTGAACCCTAGCCGGCCACGTCGAGGACTAAGGCCCCCATACATGGGTTGTGTGCGCTAACCACTGCACCACCAAAGCACACCCGAAACTAGTTTTTAAAGGCTAATACAAACTCAGTAAAAACAAACAAACACACAAAAACTACACCATACCCAGCGATTTTTTTTTAATTCAGGGTTAAAAAGTTTAACAACCATACTACCTACAGTATTTAAAAAAATTATTTCTCCCCTTTTCTTTATATCCGGGACTCCTTCCCGGATTGAAATATTAGCTGTGCTGCTGCCATTGTTGTCTTTGTTTATAGATGCTGGAGCTTAGCCTGTTTTTCAGTGTAGTCCCGTTTTTCTTACTACGACGAACTGTATATGCTCTCTTTCATCCTCTGACATGAGAATGAGCTTGGAGCCTGTCTGCTTGGTAGTGTCTTTTTTTGGACTGGGCCACATGTAGAGCTGGTTAACAGTTATCTTTTGTATTTCTGCTTCTGCCTCCTTGAACACCAGATGGCCTCTCACACTGAGCCTGGTTCTACAAGAGTTTTCTTCCTGTTAAAAATGACTTTTCCTCTCCACTGTTGCTACATTTATGCTCAGTGTGAGGGATTGCTAAAGACTTAATAACAAAAAAGGCGATTATTGTCGCCGCAAGGATCCATCCAGGAGGATGGATCCATCCATACTCCTCATCCAGGAGGAGTATGTCTTGCAAGTCAATGACTTGATGCAGTTAGCTGGTTTTCCTTGACAGAAACGTTCAACCAACCTGACTATATTGTCTCTAAACAGTGCCTTGAGATGACATATGTTGTGAAATGCAGCTATTTAAATAAACTGGATTAAATTAATAGAACCTTCCTGACAACATGAGGTAGGCTAAAGATCTCAAAAACACTTCATCTACCAATGTAAACCTGTGACCATGTAAAGAAATTCAAAAACAGATAAGAAACAAAATCAAATTCATTTTAGAAATAGATAAAAAGTCATTTTAAAAGTTTTGAAGCAGTCTTTAAATCACAGCATTTGCTATGACAGTATAAGCAAGTAGAAAAAGCATGTAACTGTGATGAACCAACAAACTAAAAAAACTCAAAATAACCTATTACACAATCTGAGGCAATAAATTTAAAGGCTGAAGCATGAACTTTTTAGTTAAGATCAGACTTTGTGTTTCAACAATAAGAAAAAGAATCGGAATACCTTTTATAGGCATACTGCCCAGTCTCCCTTTCTTATATATATTATTGTCAGAGATGGCAAAAGTACTCACTTTCCGTACTTGAGTAAAAGTACAGATACTTGTGTTAAAAAATACTCTGGTAAAAGTGAAAGTACTGATTAAACTTCTTTACTCAAGTAACAAAGTACAGGCTTGTAAATTTACTTAAAGTATAAAAGTAAAAGTAGAAACCACTTTTTTCATGCCGTTCCCTACATTTTAAATGGATGTCTGCCAATAGGACTAGATCTCCATTGTGTTCATTTTCAATCATCTCGTCGTCCATGCTACTATGCTAACGCCACCGCCACCAAGCTGCAATGATTTGCCGTGAATGAATACCGCCGAATCTGTTGATTCATCTTGTAGTGGTGCGTCAAATGCAACGTAGATTCCCATCCAATTAGATTGAATTTGGTATTGATGACGTGAAAAATAATAACGGTAACTCCATTGAAATGATTCAAAACTAAAGTAACGAGCCAATTTTTTTAAAATGTAAGGAGTAGAAAGTACAGATGTTTGTGTAAAAATGTAAGGAGTAGAAGTAAAAAGTCGCCATAAAAATAAGTAGTAAAGTAAAGTAAAAATATAAGTATTTGTACTTCGTTACTTCCCATTTCTGATTATTGTTATGGTGATAGCTTTGTGATGTTCTGGCCTTTTACCTTTGATAAACTTATTATTTACTTATATGTTTTATATGGTTTTATGGTTTTTATTTTTTTAAGGATATGTTATATTTCCAAGGGATGCAAACAATATACAAATCTATTAATTCAAATCAAATTCCAAAGGTAACAAAAACTCAAATAATTCACTAGCACACTTAAAAATTACACTCGGAAAAGCAGAAATGAGACTAGCAATCAAACTTTTAACCGACAAACAAAACACATTTAACGGAGAAGCACATGCAATTGATAATTGTTTTTAAATCTTGGATTTGCATGGTGTTGGCCACCATAGATTCAGTATTTACTAAAATATCAACATAATGCTATGTGCTGTGCATTCTCTTTTTTGTTATAAGTATATTTAAGAATATTATAAGTATTCATAGGTGCCACACACTACAAAGAGCTAAAAAGATGCTTGCCCTCTTGCATGACAGCAAGCCTTGGGATTCTCCACATGAAACTGCACTCAGCAGGCTTTTCTTTGTTTAGCTATTTCAAATAATGGGTTTGACAGGCTAGCACCAATTATCTAGCTTTCTGTAGCATTTTAGACACATTACAAATAAACCCCTTCAGATTCCCATTAACTCTGTCAAAGTTACTTTTACATACATTATTTTTGCGTTGTCTTTTGACTTCCCCTTAGAGAGGTGACTCATCCACTGATAATTTTAAACCATATATAATAGGGCATTCAGATGTGAGGTTGCATGTAGTATTTAGTAATTTTTCTGTTTACGATTATACTATATGTGAATATTTTATCATGTCATAAAATAAAACAAAATCTTGTTTTATAATTTATGTGTGTATTTGGAGTGAGTTGTAAAAGTATTTGTACACACAACTTTTACATTCTTTCACAAGTTTAATGTATATTATTGGTATTTAATGGAATACCTTTTTGACATGTGTCCCCTCTCAGTCAAAAGTATTGATGATTGTCCAAAAGTAGAAGTAAAATAACTGATTATAAAGGGAAAAAAATAACTATTTTACAAAATCTTTGAACCTGAGCATTTAACTCAGACATTTTATTCTTGCTCCTCTGAGTATCTCCCTTATATTCACATTTAAACTTGATGAATTGGTAACAAAATACAGAAAAAAATATTATAGTCAGACTGACTTAATTAGTTTTACTTTCTTTTCATCAAGAGACCTGAGCTGCTTTGATAAGCTCAGACAGCTGAGTGTAAAAAACTGCTGATACCAGGCTGTTCTCTACATCCAGTCTGTTCCTCTGCTTGGTTTGGATGTGTGTAAAATCTAAGGGTGAAATCAAACATATAAGAAAAACTTACTGTTTGGTTGATAAAAGCTTGGTTCAATTGGGTCCTCATAAAGCAAAAGAGATCCCAGTCATATTTTATTTTACTACCTAAGAAATAAAATATTTTCATGTACCCCTTGCAATGCACTCACAGACCACTAGGGGTATGCGTATCCCTGGTTGTGAATCACTGGAATAGACTATAGCAAAATAATAAAAGCAAGAGAAAGGAAATTGTTTTCCTTCCTAAATGCTTACTCCAATTTCCTTCAGGTTTTAGAAAGTATTTTTAATTGTCATAACTACCGTACTGTTGCAGTAACTATTTAATACCAACAATAGGTACATCAAATGTATAGTGTTGTGTCCTTTTGTAACCATATTATGAAGCAACCCAATAATGCTCTTTAATTGACTTGGATATGACTAAACACTTGCCAAGTTGTCTGCATGCAGGTTTGCTCATAAACTAATTCAATTTATCTTTTTATTTCTTCACCCAGCAGCCAGTGTGTCTGCTTTCTTAACAATGCTTAAGCCTTAATGAATGAAATTAGTTTAAAATCTGTTGAACCTATTAGCTAAAAAGCCAAATTCGTCTGTAAGTGCAAACATTTTAAAGGCTGGGATTGGCTGCATAAAGATTATGCAAACGTGACCTGAATGCACATCAGTAATTCAGTGCTGTTTAAGGTAAAAAGATACTCAGTTGTCACAGAAATTAAAAATCATTAACAGATAAGCTGCAGTACTAAGGCCTTATCTATCTATCTATCTATCTATCTATCTATCTATCTATCTATCTATCTATCTATCTATCTATCTATCTATCTATCTATCTATCTATCTATCTATCTATCTATCTATCTATCTATCTATCTATCTATCTACAAATGTATTTGCTCACCTATACAAATGTGTGGAATCAAGTGTTTAGGATGCCTCCTGTGTAACAAATCTAGTTGTGAAAAAGATTGTTCTAATATTCCACAGTCAACTGTCAGCTGTATAATCAGAACATGGAAGTGTTTGGGAAAAACAGCGGTGTAGCCATGAAGTGGTAGACCATGTAAACTGACAGAGATGGGTCAGCTCATTCTAAAGCGCATAGTGTGAAGAGGTCATCAACTCTATGCAGATTCACTCACTGCACACCTGTGGCATTCAGATTAGCTCAAGAACAGTGGGCAGAGAGCTTCATGGAAACAGTTTCCATGGTTGAGCAGCTTTATCAAAGCCATACATCAACAAGTGCATTTCAGAGTGCCGGAGGTCTAAACCAAGCCGCCACTGAACTCCAGAGCAGTTTGTTTTTGTATTTATTTTAGATCCCACAATAGCTACAAATGGAGCAGCAGCTATTCTTCCAGCCATCTACATCATTAGGCTATAAATGTATACATTTTTGACAATGTAACATACAACATTATCTAACAATAAAAATGCAACATAACTACATAAATGGAGATGCATTCTCTGGAGTGATGAATCATGCTTCTCAATCTGGACATCTGATAAACAAGTCTGGGTGTGATGGTTGTCAGGAAAAAACTACTTGTTTCACTGCATTGTGCCAATTGTAAAGTTAGGCGGAGGGGGTGCCATGGTGTGGGGTTGTTTTTCAGGAGCTGGGCTTGGCACCTTAGTTCCAGTTAAAGGAACTCTCAATTCTTCAGGACACCAAGACATTTTGTTCCTCCCGACTGCGCGAAAACATTTTGGAGCTTGTCCCTTCTTCTTCCAAACATGATCATGCACAGTGCAAAGAGTAAGGTCCACCCAAAGACATGGACAGCAAAGTCTTGTGAGAATCAGCTCCGCTGGACTGAACAGAGTCCTGACCTCAGCCCGATAGAATATCTTTGGGATGAATTTAGAGTGGAGACTTGAGAGCCTGGCCTTCTTGTCCAACATTAGTGTGTGACCTCAGAAATGCACTTTTTCTATTTCTATAAACACACTGCTAAACCATGTGGACAGCCTTCCCACAAGCAAAGGGTGGACGGACGGACGAACAGACAGACAGACAGACAGACAGAGATAGATAGATAGATAGATAGATAGATAGATAGATAGATAGATAGATAGATAGATAGATAGATAGATAGATAGATAGATATCAGGCATGCATGCAACACAGAAAGAGATTAGCGTCAGTTTATGTTCTTTAGACCATGCAACTGAAATACCTCAGTAAGGTTGTTTTGGTTTAAAATGATCCATTTTCTGTTTGTCGCTTTGTTTGTTTCCTTTATACACTGAGCCCTTAGGGTTGCTCAGTCAAAGCTGGAATCAAATGTTGGCAGCCCAGTTTCTAACAGAAGGGGACTTTATATCTTGCTTTTTTTGTGACTCATGTATCTTCTCTGTGACTTAATTAACTTTAAAAAGGTCAAACATGTTTTGTTTTTTTATCACCTTCATGTGTTTTTTTATGTCTAAAAATTTTGGATTACCCAAACAATATGCTACCAACTGTTAGACTGAGAAAACGCTGGAAAAGCCAGCACAGTGTACAAGCAGAATCAACACACTCTTTTACTCTCACCTAGAATACTTTTCTCTGTGGCCTTTTTAGCAAAAGCTCCATGGGAATTTATGTGAATATTTTGAGGGGTTTTTATTTTGACTGTTTTTGTTGTCTTTGTTTTGTTTTTTGTTTTGTGAGTTTTTTGTGTGTGGTTCTTGAATGAGAGCATGCTGTTATACGAACACTGTTGGGAAGTTGTATTGATCCAGCTCTCAGTAGACAATGCAAGAGATTTTCTTTTTTTTTTTTAAGAAACAGTGGTATATTGAACACATGCAGCCCGTCAAAGAAAATGTTCACAGACCTGCAATGGTTACAAGCACAAACTCATGCACACTGGAAATTTAAAACATCATCATACCTGTCAAATGCAATAGCCAGTAGTGCGTTTGTGGACACATAAAGTGACACAGTGCGGAGATAGTTCACAGAGGCACACAGCACCAGTCCGTGATCCCAGGAAAGCTGTTTCATAACATAGTAGTCCACCAGGAAGGGACAGCAAACCACTGCTACAATAAAGTCTGAGATGGCCAGGTTAGCAATGAGCAGGTTGGTGAGATTACGCAGCTTTTTGTAGCGCGTCAGGGTTGCAATAAATATAAAGTTCCCAAGCCCACACACAAGCATGATGCACACAAGTACAATGCCAATGACAATGGTGGCCACATAGAAGGCCTGACCCTGAGTTGTGTCCGGAATCTCATCAGGAGGGACTCCATAGTCCAGGTCATAGCTGTCCGTATAGTGATCCAAGTTGTCATCCAGGTGATTGTACTGAATTTCTGAAGAAGCTGCTATCCAGTGGCTGATATTTTGATCCCCCATGTCTTACAGTACACTTTTATTTTTGGTAGAAATGGAACAGCTTTACTCTAACAATTTTTATTAAAAAATGTGTAAAAATGAAAATCTTAAAAATCTCAATCAAAAGAATCCTCTTCAGAAACAGAGAGCCATCTCCACCTGAAACAGAGAGTTGCCATCTTAGTCACAATATTAGAGCAAACAAGTTATTATAATTGCAGTGGGATGTGTCATATGTTTCTGATGAATCATAATGAAGGGTGGAGTGATTACTTCTTGTTGCTTTTACATTATTCCTTGTTTTTAGACAGACTGAAGTCAGTGCATGAGAAGTGCCACTTTATGTTGTAAAAACCCTAGGTTAATGCATGAAAGAAAGGAATAACACATATTTACTTTTTAGAAAGAAATCATTTGGACATCAGAAAAAAATCATATATTCAAACACTGAAAATCTGAGATTCTTTTCTAATGTATTACAAAAAGATTAATGAATATAACCATGCTTTTTAACTTTACAAATAGATATCTATTATTAAATAAAAATCGTGCTTTTTTTAATTGGGACTCGACAGATTGTTAATATAAATGTATATAGTCATATTTAACAGATGTTTAATTAAAGTATGCATTATGAATATCATCAATTAATTGATTACCTACCTGGAAGAATTTATCTGTCCGGTTAAAATGTATTTCGGTTAAAAAGCTGCGCAAAGCTTCTTCAAATTAACATTTGAAAGATTGGAGGCAGAACGTCTCACCATCAGCCTGACCGCTCAAAGCCCGCGTCTGCTGTCAGAGCGCTCCACTCCGCTCCTTTGCTCTGCTGGTGCTGTTCTTGTTTTTTTCCAGGCTCTTTTTTTTTTTTTTTTCAAGCAAAAAGTTGCGTTTGCCTCTCTTCCTAAAGTGATAAATAAAATGGGCGGCTGCCAAGACCAAGAAACGGTCTTTCGTGAGTTGTCACGAAGGGCGGTGCGCACACGCAAGAGTTCACTTTGATCCTTTTTTGCTGCACGATGACAATTGGTTTGCTCTACATATACCACATCAGTGTTAGTGGCAGAAAAATACGCGTTAAACATAAAGAAATGTGCTATTATGTATGGATCTCTTAAATCAGATTTTTTTCCCCTTCTTTTTTTTCCTTTTTACACAGATTTGTGTAGACATTTCCAGTCGAGGCTATGAAATGCTCTGAATTAATTTTATAATCTTGGTCAAATTAGAATATTTTTATTCACTTAGAAATCAAAAAAGAGTAGAAGTATGGCTTTTTCATGGACATAATTCTTTAAATATTTTTAAAGATTATTCCAACAATCTTCAAACAATTAGTTTAAAACTAATTAACACTTAATTAACACGGTTTGCTCAGACAAATCATTTAGTATGTGCATAGGAATTGAATATTTGTTGCACCTATATGAGAAAATCAACTGTTCTGATCTTCTGATTTATGTTTTCATGGCATTCCTCAATTAAAATCAAGTGATACTTTTGAATTCCATTCCTCCAGGATGCCCATTCTTCATCCCTGCCAAATGATCAGCATCTTCTCCAATCAGCAAGGTCATGTGAGCCAGATTAATTTCTGATTAAAACCGAAACTAAGTGATAATTTTTTGGATTTATTCTCCACATTGACTGCAACACTTTTAGCTAATGTTTAAGTTGTGAATTATGGCTATTTAGCAGGTAACATGTAGGTTGTAGGAATAAAATTTTTCAGTGTAAGCACTAATCCATTTGTCAGGAAGTCCTGTCCTGTTTATGCACATCAAATATTGAAAATATATTAAAATATGATAGTGTTTCAAATTATTTTAAGTGTCTCCTTATGCTTATTTTCATATGTTCTCTGTTTGTGTTATGAAGCCTAGGCATAAATTCCGCTGCAAGAGTATAACTTGCCTACAAATTGCCTATTTTTGCGCCCCTACTCTAGCCTGTCACTGCAGGTCTACGCCCTCACCACAGCCAATCATCTTTCAAGACTGCATTTAAACCTCAAAGCTGAGGATGCTTTTGCTTTCCAGTCAAACTGCAACATTCCTCCACTTTATCGCCACCTTCACTCCACTGAAATGAAGGTTTTTATCTAAAAAGCAAGGTATGAAGGGAAAACAAAATGTATGTGATGCTGAAGACTGGAAATGACAACCAATTTCACTATATCAGTGGACCTCTAAAAAAAAAGGCCCAATGATTAATGAGCATCCATTTTTTGTTTGATTTCACTCTGTTGTTTGAAGTTCTCCTATAATATATGAAACATGTTTTCCATTTTTTATAGTGATAAATCCACTGTTTCCACAAAAGGAATACTGTGGCTTGCAGCAGGAGTTGCAATGGTGCAAAGCCCTTTTGGGTAAATGATATGCTCCCATTTTTAACCTCAGATTATGCCTTCATTCATGGCTATTGTTGGTTCTGACCCAGTTCACTCAGAAATACTTTAAAAAGGTGATTTGCTAAGCTTGTTGACTGTTGGTGTGTTAAAATCAAAACAGTTGGTTCTAGAATGTTAAGCCGAACTCATAAGGTATCAAGTCTGCAAACACAATTTATTTAATATTGCATTGCTGTCACTGACCATGTGGGATGTGAAATTATTCTAGTTATGTAATCTGACAGTTTCCCTACCCACAAGCTTTGAATACAGTACCTAACATGTCAGCCCTTATTTCAAACATACACAAGACACATTTAGTTTTTTTTTATTTATCTCATTTATGTAACACACTCACAAAACCTTAGAATTTGAATTTGAAGCGGTTTTGGTAAATTAACATACATCTTAAGTTTGATGGGTCTAGAATTTTTTATTGGTATAGGAATCGCCATCAGTAGTAGATTTGTAACAGCATTTCAACTTGTCTAGCAAAACAGATTGAAATGTTTAAGGAATTGTCATAGTTATTAATCAATAACCTAAACTTATAGAATCCACAATGTCATTATGCCTGTGTCAATGTCATAGCTCATGTTAAATCTCCCTACATTGTACTTGACATATTTATAAGCAGTACAAAGTACCCGTGTAGTAGCAGCAGTACAGTACAAATGTTTAAACTATCCTTTCTTTGTTTTCATGACTGAGAGAGTTTATGACCAAAACAACAGCCAGCCCATCTTATGTCAGCTAAATGAACAAGACTGTGACATGAAGCATTTTTTCCCCTCTTGTTTTCATCTCAGTGCAACAGTGAAAGACTTTTTGCACCATCTTTTCACGGTCAACCATCCTGAACAGCAGATAACAACAAACAGATGGCAGCAATGATGGCTTTGTAGGATCAATTTCTCATTGTGATGAAGACAAAGCACTGGTGTTTTGTGCATTACCTCTAACAATCATCTGTCAATAACAGCAGGATGGCTATTTCTGTCCTCCTACAATGACTTTGACAGGCAGCTCTGATATAACAAACAGAGAAGCAAACCAGCAGACAACTTCCTGTATTAACTAATGAGCAATTTTCTTTTGCCAACTCTAGAGCTCAGTGCACACACAATTAAAGCACTCTCTTTTGTAGATCCCTGTTAACTTTAATTTTCTTTCTAAATATTTGCTTCTTGCCTGGGCACATCAAAATCTGCCAATGCCGCCCTGGAGGCTTGACTTGTTGGATAAACACAAGACTTTCATTTCCAGCTGTTGGCAGGTCACTGATCTCACCATCTTGCAAATTTACTGCCACTCATAACCGCAACCGTAGATGAGAAAGAGTGTGGCGCTTAGCCTTTCATCATCCAAGTGTTATCCTTATCCATGGATTTTATGCACAAGACCTTTAATCCATGGGGTCTGCATGAAGACGGACAGATTTGGAAAGTATTTTATAGGTAACAGTGTTAAAATGGTTATGAAATAGAGCTGAACAGATTCCAAATGAATTACATACTGGAGGTTTAACCTCTTAATGTCCAATGCCTAATATCTGTACATTTTTATGACTAATTTTTTTTCGCAATAACTTTTTCTACTAATAACTAATTATTATTCATCAAATTACAATTCATAATTTTAGATCCTACCTTCTTTTACTGTTCTGGTGACTAAAAAAATACACCCCACGAAGGCAAAAATAGGCTCATTTTGTCCGTAACACTCCACAGAAAAGTAAAATCCAGCTGTATTCCCCCCCAAAAAAATTCAACTGTCATAATAATCCACCAAAATCTGTCTTTTTGCTATAAAAATGTAAAAACATAAGGATGAGAACATATAATCCATCTCCGTAATAATACTTGTCTGCTGTTTTAGATCATCTATGCTGCGTGGACATATTTGTCATTATTTTGACTATCCACAATACTATGGAAAATTCCTCTACGTAAAAAAGGCCCTTCCCATGCACAGGCGCCAAGTAGTTTTTATTCAGCTGGAGCTCCAAAAATGACATTTGTGCACAAGCTATAAAAAGGTGTGTGTCAGGGGGCTAAATCCAAACACCAGTATTCAATACTGTTCTTCTGTTTTAAATTCTCCTTAATATGTCTTCAAATTAGGTGAGTAGACATATTGAGACCATGTTACACAGTATTCAGTTTCTAGCTCATTTGCTTTGACAGTTGTCAGCGAACCTCAGGGGTTTAATCCAATGTCTTCCTGAGAATGTGTCTGATTTTTAGTCACATCATTTCAAATCTACCAATGCATTTAACTACTAGTTGGATGTTAAACATTTTCTGTTTGATAACATCTAAATGCTAATGTTTTGCTTATTTAAAACTGATTTCTGTAACTCAGTAAATGGAAATTAAAGTAAGCTTCAAAACTAGAATTTATTTTACTCTACTGGAGGGTATATTGAGAGATTGCTGATTGTATACATATGACTGCAACCATGGTGAAAGTACTGGAACTTCCTCAAGGATTGGAAAAAATGACAAAAATTAGGAGCAAATAGACAGGATCCCATCAATCATAACAGAAATCACTTGAATTGTCTGCTTCAACAGATTTATGTAACAAAATCTTAAGTTGAGGGTATCATCATCTTGTCCTGGCCTGTTCCATGAGTTTCTTTTTAAGAATCCATCAGTGGCTCTGTTGATAGGTAGCAGTGG